ACAGAGGGGGTTTTTTTAACCTTTGTGTGTTGGTTTCCTCTCAGGTTTACGTGGCCACCTTCCACTTGGGAGCCCAAGGAGCTGCAAACAACTCCTGAGGGTCCCTAAGGAGGTCCTCCAGGAAGCTGCACTCCAAAACACCTTATGGATTCAAGCTTCATCTCCTTGGGGCAGGAAGGCTTCAAAATGCTGCTTCAGAAGGTGGCTCTGGAGCTGAATCATGGAACCACCCAGGTTGGAAAAGACCTTCCAGACCACGGAGTCCAACCATCAACCCTACTCTCCCAAGTCCCCAGGTGCCACATCCAGATGCCTTTTAAGCACACCCAGGGATGGAGACTCAACCAACCTCCCTGGGCAGCCTGTTCCAGTGTCTGACAACCCTTCCAGTGAAGATGTGCTTCCTAACTTCTGCTCTAAACCTCCCCTGGTGCAGCTTGAGGCCACTTCCTCTTGTTCCATCACCAGTTCCCTGTGAGAAGAGACCAGCACCCAACTCCTTCCAACCTCCTCTCAGGCAGGTGCAGGGTAATGAGGTCTCCCCTCAGCCTCTTTTTCTTCAGACCAACCAGCCCCAGATCCCTCAGCTGCTCCTCATCAGACTTGTTCTCAAGGCCCTTCACCAGCTTCCTGGCCCTTCTCTGGACACACTCCCTCCCAGCTTGGTGTCCTCTGCACACTGAAGGTACATCCCATCTCCTCAGCAAGACCCTTGATGAAGATGTTCAAGAGAAGTGGTCCCAGCACTGAGCCCTGAGGAACCCCCCCCCCCCTTTGTGTCCATTCCTCTGGGCCCACCTGCCCAGCCAGTGGTTTTCTTCCCAAAACCCCATCCTCCCCTTATCCCAGCTTTGTCCTGGGCCACCTGAGCTCCCAGCACCTGGACATTTGGTGTCACTTCAACACTCACCCACTGTCAGTCCTTTCTGCTCACGCTGCACCTTGGTTATTGGCCTTGGGTTCCCTCACCTGATGAAGCAACTGATAGAAACACCATTTATCCCATTTTTTTTGGGGGGGGGACACTTTATCCTTTCACTGGAGAACCTCCCTTCCCTCACTGCAAAGAACCAACTGGAGCACAACTTGGTTTATCTTCAGCTCAGCCCTCAGAGTCCAAGACAAATCCTTAATTAAATGTAGCCCCAACATCCGTCCTCAAACAAGCCTTGGAGTTCTTGGATCTCCCTTTTGGAAAGTCAAGTCTCCTTCCTTGGAATAACATTGAGTTTCGACCTGGTTATCAGCCCAGCTTCAAACAAATTGTCCTTGATTAAAGCATCGGGGACCTGGTAGGATCCACATGACTCATGTTTTATTACACAACGGCCAAGAGGCCTCACGTGCTGGAGCAGGGAGCAGAGGTGCCTTTCCTGGATCACAGCACTCCTGGTGACCTTGTCTGCAGTCTCCTTCGTGTTCTCCCCCAGAGCCTCCAGCTTGTCTCATCCTGCTGCTTTTCCAGTAGCACCCAGTGGTCCCAACTGGAAGGTCATGGAGATGGTCCAAGGGCTGGAGCAGCTCTGGGGACAGGTTGGGAGAGTTGGGGTGTTCAGGAGGAGAAGAGAAGGCTCCAGGGAGACCTTAGAGCAGCTTCCAGGGCCTGAAGGGGCTCCAGGAAAGCTGGGGAGGGACTTGGGACAAGGGCAGGGAGGGGTGGGATGAGGGGGATGGATGAAAACTGGGAGAAGGGAGATTTAGGTTGGACATAAGGAGGAAATTCTTCCCTGTGAGGGTGGTGAGAGCCTGGCCCAGGTTGCCCAGGGAAGCTGTGGCTGCCCCATCCCTGGCAGTGTTGAAGGGCAGGTTGGATGGGGCTTGGAGCAGCCTGGGCTGGTGGGAGGTGTCCCTGCCCATGCAGGGGGGCTGGAGCTGGATGATCTTGAAGGTCCCTTCCAACCCAAATCATCCCATGATTCTATGACCATCCTCAGCCCCCTCAACATCCGTGGGAATTTGGAAGGATGGGTGGAAAGTGGAGGCTTTGAGGGCAATGGGATGGGAGCTTCCTCAGCCTCAGAACTTCCCTGCTTCCTGCCAGGAGGAGCTAACCCAGGGATTCAGGAGGAATTTGCCTTGATCTCTTGGCTCCAGCTGGTTCCCACCTGGATAAATATGCCATTCCATGACTTTCTGACAGGTTGTGAAGGTCTGTAGGTGCTGCCAGGGCACAGTGCCCGAGCATCTACCATCTCCTCCTCTCTTCCCTTGCACTTGCAACACCTCTTCCCTCCATCTCCACCCCTGCCACTTCACCAGGCTCACTTTGCCTCCATCCAAGAAGCTTTGGATTCCATTTCCCTTCCGCAGAGGGGCTGAATTTACCAGGATCCCAGCCAACACCCCCCCCAGAATCACCCGAAACAACAGGTTGTGCTGTAAACCCACCAGCACCAGCCCATCTGTGCAGGACGAGGTGGCTCTGCAGCAGCTCTCCTGCCTGTCAAACCTCCCCAAAACACCCACTCCAGCCCCGAGGAGGTCACCACAAGTCAGAAACTGCCTCAAATCTCCCCGTAAATCCCACCCCACACACACACAAACACCCCCCAAACCAACTGAAGCCTCCTCTTGGGGTTCATCACAACAAGGACCGTTTCAGAGGGGGGAAAAAAAGATCCCATTTGGGGAGGAAATCACGTAAAAGAGAGCGAAAGAGGCACAAGGAATAGAAACAAGAGCTGAAGCAACAGTGAAACAGCAAGAAACTGGCGGGGGAGGGTGGGAACGAAAAGATCCCAATGAGATAAAAACACGTCCCTGGGTTGTGAACAGGCCTGTGGGGAAGAGATAAAAGGGATGGAAAGGAGCTTTGCCTGGAATTTATTATAGTCACAGCCTGAAGCACCAGGTAGGAGGCGTTAATTGGATTCGATCTATTAACGTATCATGAATATATTCAGGAGATATTTGCAGACTAAACCCACCCACCCTTCCAGGGACCCCTAATGAAGAGCCCCCCGACACTTCTGAGCACCCAGGGACGTTTTTTAGGCGCTGCCAGTTGAAACAGAAGCGTGTGTAAATGATAGGAAAGGGCCCGAGTCAATTTTCAAGTCATTTTTCAAGTCATTTTTCAAGTGACTCAGGGCAGCCGAGCTGGCTCGGGGGGGGGGGG